CACACACCACACACACAAACCACTCACCACACCAGACACACATACACACACAACCAATCCTTTCTGATTTATTGACTAAATATAAATGTTTCTCTTCCCTCCTTGATAGACTGGAGAAATGGAAGTGAAGAACCCTCTGTTTGATGACTCAAATTTACATTTCCCAGAAAATCACAAGTGAATGCTGAACCCTTTACGCACACACATACATAAATACACACCAGTTCTGTGGAAGAAAGCACTTGATCTCACACTGCATGCATAGATTTGAAGGTTTCCTGTCAGAGGAGGTGATAAAAAGGATTGTTTTCTTGTCGGCCCTTTACTATGTCATGTCATATAATATAATATATGTTGGGTTCCTTGTTAATTTATTTCTTTCTCTGATTTGGAGCTTTCCTTTCTTTTAACATAAGGTTTTCAGAGTCCGTATTAAGTTGTTTAAATGTTAATCTCTTAAGTTAAGATTTTCCCTTTCATTTTGGTTACTTTCCTTCATTTCTGCAGCTATTTCCAAAGAATGTCTTACAACAGCAGACATGTGTATAACACACTGATACACATGCATAAGCTGGGAAACAGGTGCCCTCCCTTTGTTTTGTTATGCATAGCTAGTGGCTAAACCACATTCCCAACAGATACAAAGTTTCAAATCAGATCTGTGTGATACCTCCTGTAAAAACTCCCAAACGCAACACAAGGTTGAGCATTAAAAATGTTAATGTTGGTGTTGCTCATTTTATTCCTTGTCATATAAGCTACGCATAAATATTTTAAGATTAAAGAAAAATATATATATATATATATATATATATATATATATGAAAATGAAGTACTTGATGATGTCTGTCGCATGGTTTGACTGTACCGTGTTTGAATCATGGCAATGCTTTGAAAAGTTATTGGGCCTCCCGTATGTATGCATCCTGTAGCTGGAGGAGGAATGTACACTAAAAGTGATTTATGAGCACTTTAATGAAATGTTGGTGACGGACTATACTGATGGATGTGTAGGTGGTAAATATCACTATCTTGTATCGTCCCTCTTTCCTCTCTGTCCTCTTGTCGGTCCCAAGTTTACTCTGTGCTGCAAAATATACAAAAACGAGTGAATGTGTTCACTTTTTATAGATATTTGTACATGCAGACAAAGGATTGGAATTAAAAGTTTTTACCACATGTGAAAATAACTTTGTTTCATGTTGTGGTTTTCATGACATACATTTAATAAGATTTTAGAAACGTATATAGACATTTTAAATGTAATGGCTTTATTGATGCTAGTGGCTAAATGACAGGAAATTAGGGAGAGATGCAACAAAGTTACAGATTTTAGACAAAATCTAGCTATTAAAATAGATTAGGGAGATTAGATTTAGTCTCCTGCTGTTCTTTCCTAGACTAATGGCCGTAATAAAATAATATTGTTTCAGTCTCAGTCTGTGCAGGTGGCACATTAAAGCCTAACCAATTATTGAAACCAAGATAAAAAATAATAGAATCTGTTTTTGTCTTTAAGGAAAATCAACAAAAACGTTATTATAAATTCCTCCTGGGATGCTCTCACAGTGTGGGATGATTTCTCCAATGTGGAAAATAAAGACGGTAAAAAAAGGTCATAGGGTTAAAAGAGAGAGGTCTCCTCTTAGAGCAATTTTCAAAACATTTTTTGCAATTTAACTAGAAATATGATCAATTCCACTTTATTGAGCAAGTCTGTGGTCCCCCCCTCTTCCTTTTCTTGTCAGAATTAGGGAAGTAAGAGACATAAAGATATATATTTAGTCTCGCTGAATCATATAGTCACAATGCACTGGATTAGCATTTCCTGTTCTGATAAACTCTGCTGCCACTTACACCTTTCACCACGTAGAGACACAGTTGGTGTCACCTCTGCCTCAGACTGTCTCTGACTTACTGTCTCTAATTTAGGTTATCCTGTTTAACCTTGTTTTACTTTCATGACACAAACGACTACACCCAGAAAGTGACCTCCATGTAGCTTTTGTGTTTGTGGTTGCATGTCCGTGAGTCGGGGAGGGGATGGGTTAGTCTCCTGTCCCTATTGAGCCACATGCCAAGGGGCCATTAAAATACCTTTGTGCCGAGGACAGTGGAAGGAAGGCAGCCATTGGCCCTCGGATAAAAACCTGGGTGGGTGTAAGGTCTGTGAATGTCGGTATCAAAGGCAGGGCCGTTTGGGAAGAAAATCAAAAAGCCATCAGACTTGTTTGTGGTTGACGTTTGTGCTGCACAAATGTATCTTAATGCAACAGTTACAATGGAGCCAAAAATCTGGATGTAGATTTGTGTTATTAAGAAAACTTGTCTTTTCCAGAAGAAGACAGTATTTTTATTGGCAAAATGCTGAATGAAACACACATCGACAACGGGGCAAAATGAGATGTACATCCTGAATGAAGATCAGGGTTTGTGTCATACAAATACGAAATGTCCCGGCCACAGCAAGATTTTTAGAAAAAGTGGACCACAGTTCAGATCTCACATTCAACTTCCTTTTTTTGCATGAGCTAAAGGTCGTGCATTAAAGAGCAGCAGCACCTCGGAGTCAAATATCACCCACACGCCCAGTAGAGGCCTTTTCTTTGAACGCTGCCTGCAGTGATGTTTCGAAGAAGTTAAAATGAAGAGGAACACTAATTTAAATTAGTAATATATATATAGGCTATAATGTGATACTTTTTTCATCACTCAAGATATGTTTGTATCTACTGGTGTGACTAGGAGGTGTCCAACATATTCACACTGGTGCTTCTACTGCTGCATCAACAGGCCTTCTTTTATGTGTAACTTTCTCTCTGCCTCTGTGACGAGACCTGCACAGCAAACGCATCTCTCGAGGTGTCTTGAAGAGGCCACTTAAAAGAACTAAAGGCAAGATCTGAGACATCTGGGGGGTTTTCAACTCAATCCCCAGATACTCCCCTCACACATCTCCTCACTGTACTGAGCTATTCAACACTGAGACCCCCCTCCCCTCCCTCCTTTGGACACCCTGAGAGCTCTGTGCTGCTGTCCCTTTCTCTCTGAAGCATTGCCTGAAGTCTACTATCTCTCTTGCTGTCTGTCTTTTGCATGACAATTATACTCCCAAGTCCATGGCCCAGGACAATGCTTGTATCGTTGGGGTTTGATGTCTTTTAAGCTATTGACCAGGCTCTTACAGCTCCCCGATCCCGGGCCTACAACACTTTATATCTAAGGAGAAGAGAGAGAGCTAATCTCTGGGTAGTGTCAGAAAAAAAGACATATTGATTATATTCTGTATTCTCTAAATCCATTATTTAAAGTTTCTTTTATCAGAGCTTTTGCTGATTTCAATTGACTCACTCTTGTTTTTGAGCTGACCTTTATTCCCTTTGAAAAGGCTTTCTTTTCCTAGTCTTACCTTACACTATTAATACAAACACTTGTATCTCTTAACTAACGATTTTTTACTTGTCTGTTCCTCATCTTCCTGTGAAATAGTTTCTCTAAACTACCTTTGATAAACAATTAAACAGCCCAATCAGCAAAACTAACATCATTGTTTTAATCAAACTGTCTACCAGTGAGGTATCACTTATTTTTAAGGGGCCTCAAGGCAAAAACATTAAGCACATTTTCTATCTATGCTTCCATGATGAATATGATGGCCTTTCATCTCAAAAGGAGTAAGAGATATTCAAATAGAGATTGGTTATTGCACCTGCCTCCTAGCAGTTTTGGACCTTTAGGCTATATATCAGACTGGGTGCCATAGTATTGGCCCACCACAGTGAACCCCGGACCTGCAGACCAGGGAGATACTTCAGCCTGGTGTTTGTTTCAGAAGACAGGCGGGGGAGGTGGTGGGTGTTGGGCGGAATCAAAGGGTTGAGACTTATTGTTCGAATCTGAAAAGGAGCTAATGGTCGACCATCGCAACTCGGGATCTGAAATCCACAGGGTGCCCCGGGGCCAGCTCGTACAATGGCCCCCCCTCTCCCTCCCCGCAGTGTGTCTTCCTGCCGCAATCTGCGGCCAACGACTCGCGCTGGGGGTGCGCATCTGTAGCAGTGCTCCGCCATACAGGCTCTCTGAACGACCATCGATCAAGGGTTAATGGGAGAAGTTCACCTGAATGCGGTCGGTGGTTTTACGATTCAGTCACTAGTATTCCACCATTTTAGTTTGGCAATGGAAAGAATAGCAATAAAGAGTAGTCACAGTATCATCCACGTTGGACTCTAACTTAAAATAAATATTCTACAGACATAAATCGTGTTTTCCTTTTTTTAAAAGGGCAAAAATAAATCTGCTTTATCTGATGTAAAAAATAGTGTTATTCCTGTTTCCAGTAGCATCAACAAAGTAAGAAGATTTAACACACCCAGCAACTCAGCTGGTTAAAAGATTGAGTCGTCATCATGCCATCATGTTCTTCTGACCCACTTCTCCGAAATCAAGCTTCACAACAACACTTTCATGGGTGTACATGTCACCCTGCTTATCTCGTTATTTCTATTAAAGAACGTTGAAGTCATTTCAAGTGCATTATCATACATTGTTTTTCCTCCAGTTTATTTATATGTGTATGAGCTGATAAAATGTTCTTAACAGAATAAATAGCCTGGCCCTTGTTATTGTTTGTTTAACAACTTTATGTTGCCAGATTCATTAAGTGCCTTTCTTTTGTCTAAATTATTCAGGATTTCAATGTCAGTTCATTTCATTTGGTTTAGATGTTAGTGATTAAAATAAATGCAGGTCTGAATGACAGGGATTTTAATATCAAAGCCATCTCCTTAAAGGGGAATAAGTTAAACAAACTGAGCTTTATAATTCATGTATGAGGTGAGCAAATTATAGTGTTACAATATGTATTTAAAGGAACACTGACCCGTGCCTTAGCAATGTTAATATTCTGACTAAAACTGTTGAATTATTAATATTTGTTTATGTAATGGTTTTAAATTGCACGTCATGAGTTTTACATTTGCTAAGAAACAGAAAAACATTGTAAATCTGCAGCCCAAAGGGCTGGATGTTTATTTGAAAACACGCCCACTACTTTAGGGTGAATCAAGGTCATTCACAAATTCACCATCAGCTATGGCCAATTGTCTACGCCAGCCAATGGGCGAAGAGATGAGGTGATCCCCCAACACCCGCAACTGTGATTAGGAAAACCTGTGGAGCAGGACAAGGAGAGGGACATTTGAGCTTGAAGGTGAGTTAAGTGCAGTAGTGTTAAAACAACTTGGTGGAGTAGGCCGTAGGCGTATTGGTGGTTATGTAGCACCAAAACTGCAACTGCCCAGACCTACACTTTTCGGACAATATCACCAGAAACGGACTTTTCGCCGGTTTTTCCCCCCTGGAGTGCTTTTCCTACCCCATCCTTCATTGGTGTGTGCGCATACGTGAAGCGGGTGGTTTAGAATCAGTCTCCACTGACTTTTTCCAAGTTTTAATTTTGGACGTTCGCTTTTATATACTTTTTAAGCTGTTTGGAAGATGTCTGAAAGATCGCATAGTCCGGAAAACCAAATCCGTCCGTATGACTTCAGCCGGGCCAACCATTGCGGCCAGCTGCTGGGTCATGAAGGTTTGGGCAGCGGTGGGCCGTTCCAGCTTCCCCACGGTGTCCTGACAGACCCGAGTCTCCTCTACAACAAGTCCGCATACAGTGGCTTCACATCGGCGTCTGCGCAGACCTTTTTCCCTTTCCCATCCGTCAATGGGGACTACAGGGGATCCGACCTGCAGGCCGGAGATTTTGGGCAAACCAAACATTGGTATCCCTTCGCTGCTCCCGAGTACACCGGCCAGGTACCCGGGGCAACAGCAGCTACCCAGCCTTTAAACCTGAGTCCCCCCATAGCCGAGACACGGGAGCAGATTAAACTCCCCGCAATAAAGATTGAGAAGGACATCGATGATTACTCCACGGAGGTTAAGATTCAGCAGTACCAATCAGCAGCCTCTGCTGCCATGTCCCATGGAGTTTTCTACCCGGCCTGGAACCCCTCCTTCTGGCCCGGCATCAACCACATCACACCGCCCGCCAGCAATAATCAAAATCCCTCGACATCCTCGGCATCTTCACCCTCCATGTCCCCCTCACCCCCAAGCAACGGGCTTCCGGAAAACTCGTTTTTCAGCGTGAACACAACCCAGGCCTCCGCCGGGCCGCAGACGCAGAACCCGGCCTCTTCAACTAGGAGCAGTGGGTCCTCCAGCGGTGGATGCAGCGACTCTGAGGAGGTAAAAGCATTAACTGAATATGGACTGAATCTATTTTATAAATACAGTTTACTTGTGGATCACATTGGGTATGAATGTAATCTATTGTTTTCTTCAGGAGAATCTTTCAACAGAAGAACTAGAGCAGTTTGCAAAGGAGCTGAAACACAAGCGCATAACATTGGGTTTTACCCAAGCTGATGTCGGTCTTGCCCTAGGAAACCTTTATGGTAAGTATGGCAACCATAAAGAGACAATTAACCACTGTTTAAAGTTTATAATTATTTATTGTCATAGCCTACATATAATGGTCAGCATCAGGAAGTGCAAATCCAAGATATGGTCTTTAATTTTGTGTCATTATGGTCAATCCAAGAACAAAGTCTATGTCAGCCTAGTTGGGCCCACTGTCTGCATTTGAATGTTATGGAGATTCACACTTATTATATTCTGTATATATAAATCACTAAAAAGAGTTTGGTCAATGCTGTGTATACAAGTTTGTGTATACTATCCTGAGAAGGATTGAGACTTTTGCATAGTTGAATCTCCATTTTGTCAAGTTTCGTCTTTCAACTTTTGGGCCATGACCCTTTTTTCAACTTGTGCTTTAATATTATTTTTCGTACATGTAGGTAAGATGTTCAGCCAGACGACCATTTGCCGCTTTGAGGCTCTGCAGCTGAGCTTCAAGAACATGTGCAAGCTGAAACCCCTTCTTCAGAGATGGCTGAATGAGGCAGAGACCTCAGACAATCCCCAGGATGTAAGTGCTATACTTTGACATCTGCCGACTAGTTTACAAGACAACAGAAGATCACTAAGCTTCATGGGATCCTTGGTCTATTCAGGCCTTGCTAACTTCCTGCTGAGTTAACCTGAATCAAGGCCCTCTACTCTTGTGAAATGTAAAATGCCACCTAGTGGCCATAAAACCTCTATGATGTGCACCAAGTGGGGGAGCCATCTTTTGAGAACATGGAGTTTACAAATCTTAATGTGGTTGTATTAATTACTGCATCAACCCTTACTAGCATGCTTTGATTCTTCAGATGTACAAGATTGAGCGAGTATTTGTTGACACCAGAAAGAGGAAGAGGAGGACCAGTCTGGAGGGAGCAGTGCGCTCTGCTCTTGAGACCTACTTTGTTAAGTGTCCGAAGCCAAATACCCAGGAGATCACTCACATCTCAGACGACCTGGGTCTGGAGAGAGATGTAAGTACAGCTGTGAAAGTTATGCCAATTGCCTTTTTAATTTTTATCGAAGCGTGTTTATTTAAAAAAAAAATGTTTATAAATCTGAGTCACATTTTTAAAAGACACTTGTTTCCTGTCAGGTCGTACGTGTGTGGTTCTGCAACCGAAGACAGAAAGGAAAGCGCCTGGCCGTGCCACTAGACGAAGAGTGTGATGGCCAGTACTACGAGCAGAGTCCTTCCCCACTGAATATGGCCCATTCCCCCATTCCAGGCCAGGGCTACCCCCTTTCCAGCTACCAGCTAGGAGGCGCCCCTCCTCCCACACTTTACATGCCCCAGCTGCACCGGCCCGACATCTTGAAACAGGGCCTGCACCACGGACTGGTTAGTCACCTGACTGGATAAAAGTGTTCATGTAGTCCCAGACATAACCACAGATTGCCCACCCAAGCCTCTCTGTCCAAGAAGAAGTCTCGTAAGCAGTAACCCAATCAACCAAACGCATTGGCAGGTCTTGGGATAAAAACACTCCTAGTTTAGAGGCTCTTTCAACTTTGAGATGGTTAAAGTATATCCTAATTACTGTTTTTAATGTCAGACATGAACTGCCAAGATCAACAACCTTAGTTCCTGCAACGGCTTTGACTTAAAACTAAGACATTTAACTGAATGTGCCTTTTGATTGTTTTCGTGTTCTTGGATAATGCATTGCAAGTTATTCCATAGGCTTTTACCATTGCCTTTTTAAGAATAATGGTAACAGATCTGTTCCTGGGTGGTTTTCTGTGGTGCGAATGAATTTAGATCTGAGTTATAAAAGGGAGATTTGGACCGAAAATCAGTCTTTCTGGTCAATATTTGTGCAATACTTCTGAATAGAGCAGTCATTGAAATGGAATTTTCCATAATTTTTGCACAAAGATGCTTTTGTAATGTTTAATATATCTCTTTTAATATTTCCCCATTTGTATACCAATAGATTCTGGCCTTATGACTGAGGCTGTGAGACTCATGGTAATGTTTTGAAGGAACTTGATAAATGATTTGCTATTCTCAAGTTTCATTGCTGCTTATCTGCCAATTGCACAATTTCCATATGTTCTCATCTCAGGTGAATTGAAGTGATTAATTTAGCTTTTATAGTGTATTTCAATACCTCAAAACTTTTTTTTTTTATTATTGTAAATGATTTTTATGTTAATGAAATGTTGAATTACAATTTATACCAAAAGTTAAATTTGGATGCTAATTGTTGTTTTTTTCTGGTATTGTTTTAAGAAGAGATGTTTTACTCTAAAGACTGTAATTTGAGTACATGAAGACATTAAATGTCACCAATCTGTTCAACCCAGAATGATCTAAGTGTGGATTATTGCCTCAGGATTGATTTTTACTTTGATATTACCAACGTGAAATCAAACTTGCTACACGCTTACTGGGATTTTCTGCAACATTTCCTCAACAGATTGTTAATGGATTAAAATATAATTTATTGACTTGGTAGCTATGCTAAAATGGTTTCAACCCAAACTACATCAACCTTAAATGCATAAAATCTAGTAAAACTGACTTTTTTCAAACATTCCATGTGTTGAATATGTCCAGTACTGATTTTTATATATATTTTTTAAACGAGGTATTTTTGCGGTAAAACCTCTTGTTTTGCATCAGTTTGAGGAAGCTGAGCTTTGTATAGATAAGTAATTCAGGGAGTGTCCTGCAATGAGACTCATTCACAATGTATTCATTAAGTAAACCATCTTTTAATTTGGAAAGTCAAGTTGGACATGAAAACATACCAACCATACAACAGACAAAACATATTTAAAAAAAGTCTCAGACATCTCCAAGCCCAAATACTTCAACAACGGGCTAGCCTTTTGAATAATGCAGCCCTACTAAAATATTTACAATGTAGTTCATGGATATTCCAAGCTTTCTCTCCAGTAGAATAGAGCACACTCAAGCTAATTTGACTTTAATTGAGATCAAATGGTTCACATGTTTCTGTTTTGAGTACAATATGTAACTATTTTACATTTACAGATACTTTATCCACACTCGTTTACTTATTTAATTTTTGAATGTGTTTTTAAAGCCCTTAACAGTGTCCAGACATAAACCATAATGCTTTTGTTTTTCAATTACATTGAAGTGCGTCGGTGTTCTTTACAGGAACCTTTGTGCTTGTACATGAGTTTAAAGAGGAGAAATGCTAAACGGCACAGCTCCAAAAAACTTAAATCCATTTTACTCCAGGGAGGTCAGTGAATAAGCATGTTTCCAAAGTGCCCTTAAAAAAGGGTTTTCCTGAAATCTCAAGGATGCTAATCCTCCAAAAATGTGATAAATTACACATTAACTATGTATATGCAAGCTCAAGTGTTATTAGCCCTTGACCCAGGCCTCTAGATTGGAGTAAACTTTCTCCTGAGGTAAGCTGTTATAATGTGAGCAGATCTTACACAGTCTCTCCCTCCAGTCTTTGTACAACTTTACTGTCCACTGATGTTTCCAAGTGAAATATTCACTGTAGCGTTTCTTGTCCTCTGCAAGCTGCTGTAGATACTCTCCTAAGTCCTTGACTGATGCAAACTCATCGACGTGGATAAAAGAATTAGGTGGAGCCACAGATTTGTAGTCGCCTAACGGGGGTCCCAGGATGACAGGCACCGCGCCACTTTGGTAAGCATTCCTCCACAGTTTTTCTGTGATGTAATCTTTGCTGATTGAGTTCTCAAAAGCCAAGTAGAAGAAGCAGCGAGAGATTGTAGGTAAGAGGGCATTTTGGGAAAGAGGTGTCTCGGTCCAACGTCCGTAAACCTTCACAGGAACTACTGCCTTTAGCTCTTGGTACACTTTGCTTCTCTTGTTGTCCTTTCTGTAGTTGCTGACCACCCAACAGGCCAAGGAGCTCTTATTGAGAGGGACATTGTCCACCAGATGTCCTTCAGCCTCCTTTGGTAGCAGCTGGCCGTATGGAATAGTGACATCAGCATCTCTCCTATAGCTGATGGTCATGTTGAATATATTTGCATACTGATGCAACTTTCCATTGTGAATAGGGGCTTCCAGGGACATCCAGGCCCACCTCTGGCCCTGTGGCCGTGGAAGGTCAAGGGGCAGCTTTTGGTGGCCCAGTGCCAGCTCTCTGTTGTGGAACACCACCACATCAGCGGAGGGGAACAAGGAGCGCTGGTCCACCAGTCTACAGCGAGGGATACGGTAGAGATCCCAGCACGTGTCCCCCTTCAGGGACGACGACTTGCCGTCGGGCCAATGCCACAGCAGGATCGTGATGTTAGGGAAACTGGAAGGATTTCCAGCTGTCTGGGCTGGAAATCTTCTCCACCATGCATTGAGAAGACACAGCGGTAAAACACAGAGAAAGGAGAGGAGGAAGAGGCGCTTCTTCATTGAGCCGAGCCCAGTCTTCTTAGTGTTGTAACACCCCTGTTGCAAAATAAATTAAGTAGGATTATAAAGGAGAACCGTGGTTTTTTTCGCGTACTTTTGCAGGTTTAAATCTAATCATTACAAATCATATACTTAACATCACAACTAACCATTTTTTGTAAAGTGTGCTGCTCTGTTGAGCAATGTTGATGTACCTTTCCTTCTGATTCATTTCCATAATACATACAAATCATTGCTGAGGCAAATCATTTCAAATCAATCTGTGAATTTCCTCATAATTCTTTTAAATGTGCTAATTGATTTCTATGTATGGAAACCAATGACCAATTTAGCATTTAGGACATATTTAACATACCAAGAATACAAAGACTCAAATGTTTTACTGAATAGACTGAAAATAATATAATGTGACTAAATAAGATTCATTTGATTAAATTGCACCATGTAGCTCAATAACAGAAGAGAGTAAGAGTCCTCCCTGGCAAAACAAAAGTATGCTTAAGCCTAAACAGGAAAAACACATTGTATTAACTACTTCCTTCCAAATGTACTCCATGTAACCACTGAAGACCCTAAGAGAGCAGAACAGGTGACACACATGAACAGGACATATAAGCCACCCTCTAAAAGGGGAATTCCTCATGTGTGGCAGTCATGACTCATGACAATGTAAAGTGAAAACCAAATTGATTCCTCAAAGTTTCTAAATGATGAAAATCACTTTTTTAGCATGCAGGTTTTATTTGAGTGTCTGTGATGTAATCCTCTGATGAGATTTGTAACGAGGACTTACCATCAGGTCCTCAGCTGTGACTCCCTGTATGAGGAAGAATCACGACTTCCCTCTCAAACCAAGAGGAACTGGAGTATATGCTTCCTCTTTCTCTATATGGACAAAAAGTGAAAATATTTGAAAGAGTTATAAGTGCTCTAGTCGAAACTAAATTAACATCTATCCATTGATGTAATCTCCCAGTCAGTCACCACTTAAAGACAAACATTTAATCATTTGTCAATACTTTCTTTAATGTCTTAGGAGGGATAGAAAATAATTCAATACATATTCAAAGTGGAAAACATTTAGATTGATGATTTATTTGCTTAATTTGCAGTTATTGAATCATACTCTAGTTATCCAGTCCTAAAAGTATCTATAGCCTCATTGCTGTAGTTTCCCCTTTGGAAAGAACATTATAAAAAGGAAAAAGACCATTAACTGAACAGTGTGCACACAAGGAACTAATGAATACTCGTATAATTTCAACCTGTGGAATTAAATAATACCTCTAAACAAAGCTTTCATCACATACCTCTCCCACTATCTCAATACAAAACACCTTTTAAGAGCATCCTGGCTGCATCATAAAATAAGGGAAATAACCATACATTGACACAACAGAAGCACTGCAGCTTAAACCATATCAAGAATATATATATCTACATCATTTGATATAAAAACAAACTGCCCAGTTATTTAATTATTTTCTTTTGAATCCGAAATCTTTACTTTAAAGAATAAACGTTAAAGGTGTTTTGTAACTGAAAAGTAGAATATCATAACCAGAACATTTTCCAGTGAAGGTGAGAGATTAAGAGATAAAGCCTTTAAATATGAATGATATAATTCCTTTTAAGTTACCCTCCATAGTTATACGTTTTAAGACAAACTGTGAACAGGATGTGGTGAAAGATTGATGTTGGCAATGGTACTTTGCCTCAGTGGTTTTTGTTCAGTGTTAGGCTACAAGGTGCAAAGGGCATGCCATAAAACACAATTTATGAATACAACACTAACCTGATCAAGAGATGAACGGCCTGTCCTCCATCCTCAGTCTCCGTCTTTGGTCGCTGCTGGTATGACAATTATCATGAGCTTGAAGTGCTTTAAAATAAAAAAAACAGCCCCTTTTAAAGGAAGCTGAGGTGTGGTTTTCTAAACATTGTGGAACATGAGTTCAGATGACGAGCATCGTGCAACCCCTCCTTTTTCTTCCACACCCCCTTAAACTCCTACTTTTTGGTGAAATGTACACTTATCTGCTCCCTGCTGTCTTTAAAAATGGAGAACAACCATTCAGGGGGTGTTTGCGACATGGGAAAGAAGAAGTGTACAACAGGATTTAAAGGGTTACACAAGAATAATCACAAAGCAATGATTCATCATCGTGTTGCTACATTGTAGAGGTTAACATATCAAAGTATACGCATGTACAAGTTTGATGCCCTTTTTTATTCCCACAAAGAGCATTGATGTGTGTGGCAGAGGCACTGAATGGTAGCATATGTTTATTTTTGTAATACTTTATGCATGGTTGGTTCAGGGTTTTTACCCTTTTGATTATAGTTTCTGTGGTTGATTGTCCTTGTCTTTAAAAGTGATACATTTGAAGTGTATAAATATGATTGGAAATAAATGATCTCATATCTCAAATGTAAATGTTTCATACAGACTGAGCAGCAAAATTCAGCTGTGCTGTCTGTGGAAGAAAAATAAAAGCTAAAAACACTGAAAAGTTTGATTTAAGTACCCGTGCCTCTGAGGCATTTAAGAAAGCAGGTGCCACTCACATCACCCATGCTAATGTTAAGAAATGAATAAGCAGATGTATCATCAATGGGAATTTGCACAACCAAAATAAAATGTTATATTAATAAATGACATCATCACTTTTATAAATAATAATACAAAACTTGCATCTGTCTTGAAATATATGTTAGCTATATTAGCTTAAATCAAGCATACTAAAGACTTATGAATACTTAAGGAACAATCCAAATCCTACATAGCAGATTACATTTCTGCCATGTTTATTCAGGTGTAAATGTATATTTGTATACTAAAGGACCACAAGAGGGCAGTGTTGTGTTGCCACAATCTTTTGTTCCCAGGCCCTTTCATTGCTATTCCACACCCTTCCGCAGATGCCCCCTCTCTTCTAGACACTGGTGATGATGATGCTGAAGATCTGGGTTTGATGAGGAGATCGGATGAAGAGGAGGTGTGATGAGGTCTTTGGATTAGCTCTCCTGGCACTGGATGTGGTGAAAGGAGGTGGATGGGGAGGAGGTGGTCGGCATCATGAACACCTGAAATCACAGCTGACTGCAGGAGAGAGGAGAACCATTTTAAAGTTTGGCTGCAGCACGGTGATTGGCTGCTGAGATTGAGGTGAATGTAGGTTAGCAGGAAGCCTGTGATGAGCTGATTAAGCAGCTGTGGAATTAATGTATACCAGTCTTCCTGAAAGAACTTGCGCTGAGCTTCATTTGTCAACAAGGTTAAACGGTTTACTTTGAAAAACAACATAGCTGCAATGTATCCCTATTGTTCTTAACTTCGGGGTTTATTAATAAGGAAGTAAGTATGGACAAAGCTCAAGTTTGTCTAATCTGTTCTTTACCAAAGAAATACTAGATAGTTCCACATGGTTGATTCTGAGGAGGAAACATCTCTCTTAGAGGTATGCAAACTATGAGAAGGCTAAGGTAACAAATAAACATAGCAATTGCTTTAGGATTATAAAGGTTGGTAGGAGGGGTTTTCATGTGGGAGATTGACGTGAGGTAAGATTACATGTCAGATGTATTCAGAAACAACAGCAACAACCTCATCAAACAGGACGTTTTGTTTATTTTGATTGGTTCCCAGGGCTGAATACAATGAAAGAAAGGTGATATCTTGAATTGAACTATCCTATTTACTAAATTAGTTTAATTAGCCTCATACAATATTAATCCAATTTGTGGATTCCTCAGCACAGAGTCACAGGTAACCCGCAGCTGTGAGATTAGGAAAACCTGTGGAGCAGGGGAAGGAGAGGGGCATTTGAGCTTGAAGGTGAGTTAAGTGCAGTAGTGTTAAAACAACTTGGTGGAGTAGGCCGTAGGCGTATTGGTGGGTATGTAGCACCAAAACTGCAACTGCCCAGACCTACACTTTTCGGACAATATCACCAGAAACGGACTTTTCGCCGGTTTTTCCCCCCTGGAGTGCTTTTCCTACCCCATCCTTCATTGGTGTGTGCGCATACGTGAAGCGGGTGGTTTAGAATCAGTCTCCACTGACTTTTTCCAAGTTTTAATTTTGGACGTTCGCTTTTATATACTTTTTAAGCTGTTTGGAAGATGTCTGAAAGATCTCATATATAGTCCGGAAAACCAAATCCGTCCGTATGACTTCAGCCGGGCCAACCATTGCGGCCAGCTGCTGGGTCATGAAGGTTTGGGCAGCGGTGGGCCGTTCCAGCTTCCCCACGGTGTCCTGACAGACCCGAGTCTCCTCTACAACAAGTCCGCCTACAGTGGCTTCACATCGGCGTCTGCTCAGACCTTTTTCCCTTTCCCATCCGTCAATGGGGACTACAGGGGATCCGACCTGCAGGCCGGAGATTTTGGGCAAACCAAGCATTGGTATCCCTTCGCTGCTCCCGAGTACACCGGCCAGGTACCCGGGGCAACAGCAGCTACCCAGCCTTTAAACCTGAGTCCCCCCATAGTCGAGACACGGGAGCAGATTAAACTCCCCGCAATAAAGATTGAGAAGGACATCGATGATTACTCCACGGAGGTTAAGATTCAGCAGTACCAATCAGCAGCCTCTGCTGCCATGTCCCATGGAGTTTTCTACCCGGCCTGGAACCCCTCCTTCTGGCCCGGCATCAACCACATCACACCGCCCGCCAGCAATAATCAAAATCCCTCGACATCCTCGGCATCTTCACCCTCCATGTCCCCCTCACCCCCAAGCAACGGGCTTCCGGAAAACTCGTTTTTCAGCGTGAACACAACCCAGGCCTCCGCCGGGCCGCAGACGCAGAACCCGGCCTCTTCAACTAGGAGCAGTGGGTCCTCCAGCGGTGGATGCAGCGACTCTGAGGAGGTAAAAGCATTAACTGAATATGGACTGAATCTATTTTATAAATACAGTTTACTTGTGGATCACATTGGGTATGAATGTAATCTATTGTTTTCTTCAGGAGAATCTTTCAACAGAAGAACTAGAGCAGTTTGCAAAGGAGCTGAAACACAAGCGCATAACATTGGGTTTTACCCAAGCTGATGTCGGTCATGCCCTAGGAAACCTTTATGGTAAGTATGGCAACCATAAAGAGCTAATTAACCACTGTTTAAAGTTTATAATTATTTATTGTCATAGCCTACATATAATGGTCAGCATCAGGAAGTGCAAATCCAAGATATGGTCTTAATTTTGCGTCATTATGGTCAATCCAAGAACAAAGTCTATGTCAGCCTAGTTGGGCCCACTGTCTGCATTTGAATGTTATGGAGATTCACACTTATTATATTCTGTATATATAAATCACTAAAAAGAGTTTGGTCAATGCTGTGTATACAAGTTTGTGTATACTATCCTGAGAAGGATTGAGACTTTTGCATAGTTGAATCTCCATTTTGTCAAGTTTCGTCTTTCAACTTTTGGGCCATGACCCTTTTTTCAACTTGTGCTCCAATATTATTTTTTGTACATGTAGGTAAGATGTTCAGCCAGACGACCATTTGCCGCTTTGAGGCTCTGCAGCTGAGCTTCAAGAACATGTGCAAGCTGAAACCCCTTCTTCAGAGATGGCTGAATGAAGCAGACACCTCAGACAATCCCCAGGATGTAAGTGCTATACTTTGACATCTGCCGACTAGTTTACAAGACAACAGAAGATCACTAAGCTTCATGGGATCCTTGGTCTATTCAGGCCTTGCTAACTTCCTGCTGAGTTAACCTGAATCAAGGCCCTCTACTCTTGTGAAATGTAAAATGCCACCTAGTGGCCATAAAACCTCTATGATGTGCACCAAGTGGGGGAGCCATCTTTTGAGAACATGGAGCTTACAAATCTTAATGTGGTTGTATTAATTACTGCATCAACCCTTACTAGCATGCTTTGATTCTTCAGATGTACAAGATTGAGCGAGTATTTGTTGACACCAGAAAGAGGAAGAGGAGGACCAGTCTGGAGGGAGCAGTGCGCTCTGCTCTTGAGACCTACTTTGTTAAGTGTCCGAAGCCAAATACCCAGGAGATCACTCACATCTCAGACGACCTGGGTCTGGAGAGAGATGTAAGTACAGCTGTGAAAGTTATGCCAATTGCCTTTTTAATTTTTATCGAAGCGTGTTTATTTAAAAAAAAAAATTTTTATAAAGATGAGTCACATTTTTAAAAGACACTTGTTTCCTGTCAGGTCGTACGTGTGTGATTCTGCAACCGAAGACAGAAAGGAAAGCGCCTGGCCGTGCCACTAGACGAAGAGTGTGATGGCCAGTACTACGAGCAGAGTCCTTCCCCACTGAATATGGCCCACTCCCCCATTCCAGGCCAGGGCTACCCCCTTTCCAGCTACCAGCTAGGAGGCGCCCCTCCTCCCACACTTTACATGCCCCAGCTGCACCGGCCCGACATCTTGAAACAGGGCCTGCACCACGGACTGGTTAGTCACCTGACTGGATAAAAGTGTTCATGTAGTCCCAGACATAACCACAGATTGCCCACCCAAGCCTCTCTGTCCAAGAAGAAGTCTCGTAAACAGTAACCCAATCAACCAAACGCATTGGCAGGTCTTGGGATAAAAACACTCCTAGTTTAGAGGCTCTTTCAACTTTGAGATGGTTAAAAGTATATCCTAATTACTGTTTTTAATGTCAGACATGAACTGCCAAGATCAACAACCTTAGTTCCTGCAACGGCTTTGACTTAAAACTAAGACATTTTAACTGAATGTGCCTTTTGATTGTTTTCGTGTTCTTGGATAATGCATTGCAAGTTATTCCATAGGCTTTTACCATTGCCTTTTTAAGAATAATGGTAACAGATCTGTTCCTGGGTGGTTTTCTGTGGTGCGAATGAATTTAGATCTGAGTTATAAAAGGGAGATTTGGACCGAAAATCAGTCTTTCTGGTCAATATTTGTGCAATACTTCTGAATAGAGCAGTCATTGAAATGGAATTTTCCATAATTTTTGCACAAAGATGCTTTTGTAATGTTTAATATATCAATTTTAATATTTCCCCATTTGTATACCAATAGAATCTGGCCTTATGACTGAGGCTGTGAGACTCATGGTACTGTTTTGAAGGAACTTGATAAATGATTTGCTATTCTCAAGTTTCATTGCTGCTTATCTGCCAATTGCACAATTTCCATATGTTCTCATCTCAGGTGAATTGAAGTGATTAATTTAGCTTTTATAGTGTATTTCAATACCTCAAAACTTTTTTTTTTTATTATTGTAAATGATTTTTATGTTAATGAAATGTTGAATTACAATTTATACCAAAAGTTACATTTGGATGCTAATTGGTGTTTTTGTCTGGTATTGTTTTAAGAAGAGATTTTTTACTCTAAAGACTGTAATTTGAGTACATGAAGACATTAAATGTCACCAATCCGTTCAACCCAGAATGATCTAAGTGTGGATTATTGCCTCAGGATTGATTTTTACTTTGATATTACCAACGTGAAATCAAACTTGCTACACGCTTACTGGGATTTTCTGCAACATTTCCTCAACAGATTGTTAATGGATTAAAATATAATTTATTGACTTGGTAGCTATGCTAAAATGTTTTCAACCCAAACTACCTCAACCTTAAATGCATAAAATCTAGTAAAACTGACTTTGTTCAAACATTCCATGTGTTGAATATGTCCAGTACTGATTTTTATATATATTTTTTAAACAAGGTATTTTTGCGGTAAAACCTCTTGTTTTGCATCAGTTTGAGGAAGCTGAGCTTTGTATAGATAAGTAATTCAGGGAGTGTCCTGCAATGAGACTCATTCACAATGTATTCATTAAGTAAACCATCTTTTAATTTGGAAAGGGAAGTTGGACATGAAAACATACCAACCATACAACAGACAAAACATATTTAAAAAATGTCTCAGACATCTCCAAGCCCAAATACTTCAACAACGGGCTAGCCTTTTGAATAATGCAGCCCTACTAAAATATTTACAATGTAGTTCATGGGTATTCCAAGCTTTCGCTCTAGTAGAATATAGCACACTCAAGCTAATTTGACTTTAATTGAGATCAAATGGTTCACATGTTTCTGTTTTGAGTACAATATGTAACTATTTTACATTTACAGATACTTTATCCACACTCGTTTACTTATTTAATTTTTGAATGTGTTTTTAAAGCCCTTAACAGTGTCCAGACATAAACCATAATGCTTTTGTTTTTCAATTACATTGAAGTGCATCGGTGTTCTTTACAGGAACCTTTGTGCTTGTACATGAGTTTAAAGAGGAGAAATGCTAAACAGCACAGCTCCAAAAAACTTAAATCCATTTTACTCCAGGGAGGTCAGTGAATAAGTGAATAAGCATGTTTCCAAAGTGCCCTTAAAAAAGGGTTTTCCTGAAATCTCAAGGATGCTAATCCTCCAAAAATGTGATAAATTACACATTAACTATGTATATGCAAGCTCAAGTGTTATTAGCCCTTGACCCAGGCCTCTAGATTGGAGTAAACTTTCTCTTGAGGTAAGCTGTTATAATGTGAGCAGATCTTACACAGTCTCTCCCTCCAGTCTTTGTACAACTTTACTGTCCACTGATGTTTCCAAGTGAAATATTCACTGTAGCGTTTCTTGTCCTCTGCAAGCTGCTGTAGATACTCTCCTAAGTCCTTGACTGATGCAAACTCATCGACGTGGATAAAAGAATTAGGTGGAGCCACAGATTTGTAGTCGCCTAACGGGGGTCCCAGGATGACAGGCACCGCGCCACTTTGGTAAGCATTCCTCCACAGTTTTTCTGTGATGTAATCTTTGCTGATTGAGTTCTCAAAAGCCAAGTAGAAGAAGCAGCGAGAGATTGTAGGTAAGAGGGCATTTTGGGAAAGAGGTGTCTCGGTCCAACGTCCGTAAACCTTCACAGGAACTACTGCCTTTAGCTCTTGGTACACTTTGCTTCTCTTGTTGTCCTTTCTGTAGTTGCTAACCACCCAACAGGCCAAGGAGCTCTTATTGAGAGGGACATTGTCCACCAGATGTCCTTCAGCCTCCTTTGGTAGCAGCTGGCCGTATGGAATAGTGACATCAGCATCTCTCCTATAGCTGATGGTCATGTTGAATATATTTGCATACTGATGCAACTTTCCATTGTGAATAGGGGCTTCCAGGGACATCCAGGCCCACCTCTGGCCCTGTGGCCGTGGAAGGTCAAGGGGCAGCTTTTGGCGGCCCAGTGCCAGCTCTCTGTTGTGGAACACCACCACATCAGCGGAGGGGAACAAGGAGCGCTGGTCCACCAGTCTACAGCGAGGGATACGGTAGAGATCCCAGCACGTGTCCCCCTTCAGGGACGACGACTTGCCGTCGGGCCAATGCCACAGCAGGATCGTGATGTTACGGAAGCTGGAAGGATTTACAGCTGTCTGGGCTGGAAATCTTCTCCACCATGCATTGAGAAGACACAGCGGTAAAACACAGAGAAAGGAGAGGAGGAAGAGGCGCTTCTTCATTGAGCCGAGCCCAGTCTTCTTAGTGTTGTAACACCCCTGTTGCAAAATAAATTAAGTAGGATTATAAAGGAGAACCGTGGTTTTTTCGCGTACTTTTGCAGGTTTAAATCTAATCATTACAAATCATATACTTAACATCACAACTAACCATTTTTTGTAAAGTGTGTTGCTCTGTTGAGCAATGTTGATGTACCTTTCCTTCTGATTCATTTCCATAATACATACAAATCATTGCTGAGGCAAATCATTTCAAATCAATCTGTGAATTTCCTCATAATTCTTTTAAATGTGCTAATTGATTTCTATGTATGGAAACCAATGACCAATTTAGCATTTAGGACATATTTAACCAACCCGGTATCACGGTGAGACGTGAACATGTGACGCTTTACCATTGCTGGGAGACGTGAAGATGTCACGGTTTCGTCTTTTCAAAACGTGAAAAGCGTGACAGCTACACGGTATTGTTAACCCATGTTAACCAGTGGAGAAATAACCGGAAATACCAAGCAAATGCTACCCCGACGTAATGATTTATTTTGTAATAGTCACACTCGATTACAGCGATTTTCTTGTTGCCCCAGCTGGTCGACACCTCTTTTAGCATAAACAAAGGCTACATTAATGTATTAAATCGATGTTAATCCATGCGTGTGGATGTGGAATTAACGGACGTGACGTTGTGCGATTGAGTTGCCAAGCAACAGCTTCGGTTCATGTTAATTTACAAACTATTCAACTACAACCGTAGTTATATTTAAAAACATGTTAGAAGGCCTCACGAAATACTTTAATGCACATTAAAATGTAAATGTGAAGGAATGTGTGTATAACAAAATACATCGGTCATTAAACGAAACCGGAAACAGACGTAGGCAAGATCCTCAGCTCGATGATTGGATGGTTATCCGCAATGCATGCTGGGATTTGGTGTGTATGTGATGTGAAATCTGAAAACGTTTTTTAAAAATACAATAATACTTTATTCCGAGTGTGCTTGCTTTTCTCTTTGAAAGTCATCACATAACGGCATTGTAATACACGGTTCGGCTGCATTAAATATTACATATCTGCCCTAATTCTCTATTTATAGAGCCCTGATGAGAAGACTTTGAGACAAACATGAGGCACTGAAAACGTGACGTGGATCATAAATATATAAGCAATTAAACAACATCTTACATTTAATTTCACACAATACGTCTCCTTGCAGTATCAACACTAATTCGGCTGACTTTTATATTTGATCCAATTGGTAGATAGGCTGTATTTACACCATAACCGTGCAGAGCTGATAGAAAGGGACACCTGGTGGTCAAAACACGTTATTGAATTGTATTATACTTATTATTATACATACTTTTTTAGCATATTGTTTATTTTATTCTAACTTAGTACTTTTTTAACGCATGTAAGATATGCAACACTAAGCTGTCTGTGGCTCTTTCCTGCTGTAACGCTGCACATTTCCCCTCTGTGGAACTAATAAAGGTATTCTGATTCTGATTCTTTAATGGTCACACATGCAGAGCACACAGCACACAGTGACATTTGTATCTACAGATAAATATTAAGCCTGACAAAGTACTTAACGTCTAATATATTGCTTTCCTGAAATGTTAACTATGTTTAAGCACTTATTTGTTTATTATTTGTTTATTATTAAACTGATATTATACATATGTATTATACTCTTATAAGATGTATGTAGATAGTATAAGAAATGTGCAGAATGACAGTTTAATGGTGGAGTATAAACACATATTGATAGATGTCTTGTAATGCACTGTTGAGGAACCTGCGACCCAAGTTGTTCATTCATTGCATAACTACACAGTAGTTGTGTATAATATGATATGTCAATAAACCTTAGCTTATAAAATCTTGAAATCTTGAAAGGGATGTTCAAACTAGTCATTATATACAGTCTTTAATGAACTATTAGTAGAGAATAACGAGTAATGAATATACTTTATAGAGATCCTATTAATATCTAATAATAAAATAATAAAATTCAATAACGTGCTTTGACCACCAGGTGTCCCTTTCTATCAGCTCTGCACGGTTATGGTTTAAATACAGCCTATCTACCAATTGGATCAAATATAAAAGTCAGCCGAATTAGTGTTGATACTGCAAGGAGACGCATTGTGTGAAAAGAAATGTAAGATGTTGTATAATTGCTTATATATTTATGATCAACGTCACGTATTCAGTTTTGGCGGCAGTTCTCCTGTTTGTCTAGAAGTCTTCTCAGCAGGGCTCTATAAATAGAGAACTACGGCAGATATGTCATATTTAATACAGCCGAACCGTGTATTACAAAGCCGTTATGTGATGACTTTCAAAGAGTAAAGCAAGCACACTCGGAATAAAGTATTATTGTATTTATAAAAAAAAAACGTTTTCAGATTTCACATCACATAAACACCAAATCCCAGCATGCATTGCGGATAACCATCCAATCATCGAGCTGAGGATCTTGCCTACGTCTGTTTCCGGTTTCGTTTAATGACCGATGTATTTTGTTATACACACATTCCTTCACATTTACATTTTAATGTGCATTAAAGTATTTCGTGAGGCCTTCTAACATGTTTTTAAATATAACTACGGTTGTAGTTGAATAGTTTGTAAATTAACATGAACCGAAGCTGTTGCTTGGCAACTCAATCGCACAACGTCACGTCCGTTAATTCCACATCCACACGCATGGATTAACATCGATTTAATACATGTATTAAATCGATCTTAATCCATAAACAAAGGCTACATTAATGTATTAATGTAGCCTTTGTTTATGCTAAAAAAGGTGTCGACCAGCTGGGGCAACAAGAAAATCGCTGTAATCGAGTGTGACTATTACAAAATAAATCATTACGTCGGGGTAGCATTTGCTTGGTATTTCCGGTTATTTCTCCACTGGTTAACATGGGTTAACAATACCGTGTAGCTGTCACGCTTTTCACGTTTTGAAAAGACGAAACCGTGACATCTTCACGTCTCCCAGCAATGGTAAAGCGTCACATGTTCACGTCTCACCGTGATACCGGGTTGTATTTAACATACCAAGAATACAAAGACTCAAATGTTTTACTGAATAGACTGAAAATAATATAATGTGACTAAATAAGATTAATTTGATTAAATTGCACCATGTAGCTCAATAACAGAAGACAGTAAGAGTCCTCCCTGGCAAAACAAAAGTATGCTTAAGCCTAAACAGGAAAAACACATTGTATTAACTACTTCCTTCCAAATGTACTCCATGTAACCACTGAAGACCCTAAGAGAGCAGAACAGGTGACACACATGAACAGGACATATAAGCCACCCTCTAAAAGGGGAATTCCTCATGTGTGGCAGTCATGACTCATGACAATGTAAAGTGAAAACCAAATTGATTCCTCAAAGTTTCTAAATGATGAAAATCACTTTTTTAGCATGCAGGTTTTGTTTGAGTGTCTGTGATGTAATCCTCTGATGAGATTTGTAACGAGGACTTACCATCAGGTCCTCAGCTGTGACTCCCCGTATGAGGAAGAATCACGACTTCCCTCTCAAACCAAGAGGAACTGGAGTATATGCTTCCTTTTCTCTATATGGACAAAAAGTGAAAATATTTGAAAGAGTTATAAGTGCTCTAGTCGAAACTAAATTAACATCTATCCATTGATGTAATCTCCCAGTCAGTCACCACTTAAAGACAAACATTTAATCATTTGTCAATACTTTCTTTAATGTCTTAGGAGGGATAGAAAATAATTCAATACATATTCAAAGTGGAAAACATTTAGATTGATGATTTCTTTGCTTAATTTGCAGTTATTGAATCATACACCAGTTATCCAGTCCTAAAAGTATCTAGCCTCATTGCTGTAGTTTCCTCTTTGGAAAGAACATTATAAAAAGGAAAAAGACCATTAACTGAACAGTGTGCACACGAGGAACTAATGAATAGGCTACTCGTATAATTTCAACCTGTGGAATTAAATAATACCTCTAAACAAAGCTTTCATCACATACCTCTCCCACTATCTCAATACAAAACACCTTTTAAGAGCATCCTGGCTGCATCATAAAATAAGGGAAATAACCATACATTGACACAACAGAAGCACTGCAGCTTAAACCATATCAAGAATATATATATCTACATCATTTGATATAAAAACAAACTGCCCAGTTATTTAATTATTTTCTTTTGAATCCGAAATCTTTACTTTAAAGAATAAACGTTAAAGGTGTTTTGTAACTGAAAAGTAGAATATCATAACCAGAACATTTTCCAGTGAAGGTGAGAGATTAAGAGATAAAGCCTTTAAATATGAATGATATAATTCCTTTTAAGTTACCCTCCATAGTTATACGTTTTAAGACAAACTGTGAACAGGATGTGGTGAAAGATTGATGTTGGCAATGGTACTTTGCCTCAGTGGTTTTTGTTCAGTGTTAGGCTACAAGGTGCAAAGGGCATGCCATAAAACACAATTTATGAATACAACACTAACCTGATCAAGAGATGAACGGCCTGTCCTCCGTCCTCAGTCTCCGTCTTTGGTCGCTGCTGGTATGACAATTATCATGAGCTTGAAGTGCTTTAAAATAAAAATAAAACAGCCCCTTTTAAAGGAAGCTGAGGTGTGGTTTTCTAAATATTGTGGAACATGAGTTCAGATGACGAGCATCGTGCACAGACCCGGCGCCGGAACAAATCTAAAGGGAGCGCATATGATTTTCATGGGAGGGCACACAAAACCGTCATGCGCTGCGGGCCTGCGGCACAATATATATCAAACAGCAAGGCCAACAGCATTGCGTAAAGACGCACACTTATCGCAAATACATACACAAATAAAGGGCAACATAGAAACCACTTTTGAAACATTGTGTGCGTGGCAGCACACACACTGGTAAATCACGAGCAAGGCACACTGGTTAAGGATGGCAGCTTCCTCATCGCTGCACTCGGAGAAAAATAAACGGAGACGATGAACTGTTTAACCCGCCTTGGGCATGGTTTATTTTCCTATGCACTGCAGGTGCATCCTTTCGCTCAGCCGAGCTAACTTAGAACATTATTTTTGGCCAACTCTGCATCTTTGTGCAGCGTATACTCAAACAGCGATAGGAAGAGCCCACTGCCTGACTCGGACATGCTGTGGAGTGAATCGAGTCACATCTGAGAGGGAGTTGGTTGACGGCTAAAAAAGCTATAATATCAACGACAGCTGACACGTAATAACGGTTCCGTGCCAGCTGATCTGCACCAAAGTACTAATTTCCTTATTTGTTTCCTCGCGTATCTGTCTCTCTTTCCACACACTCTCACATGAAATGTGTTCTTTTGATGCGGCATGCCTTAGCAGTCCTGTATCAGTCTGTAATGCGTGTTTCCAGTCGCAAAAACCTTTGACAGTAAAAGCCACATCAGATGAAGACGTATTTACTTTAAAGTGTCTACAGGGGAAACAAAAGGCTGCGTCTGCTTTTAACGAATCTTCAAGCCGGTCTGTTGTTGTACCATGCAGCGGCAAAAGTGCGCTTCTTTCCTGAAAACAATCTCCCTGATAACGATCCAGTTTCACCTCGTTGGGTTTATTAACCCCAAGATCATCTGGGGCTGTTGGTCTTTGAGCGGTTGCTTTTCAGCCAATTTCTGATGTCCATTTTGTAATTCAAACAGAAATGGGAGTCTACAGAATGCACAATAAACAAACAAATCCAGAAGGCGGCAGAGTGTGACGCTGTGATTGGTCTAAATGTGGACAAATCACAACAGACACATGAATTTATTTGACATAGCCTGCGATTTTTTGTTTTAGTTACTATCTGACATCGTATACATCGTAGCATAAAAGTTCACAGTTTATTTATAATTTTAAAAAAAAAAACATAAAAAAAAAAAAACGTTATAAATAATAAAAAACGTGTTTATTGGGGGAGGGCAGGAATGTCAAATGGGCATGCCTTAGCAGTCCTGTATCAGTCTGTAATACGTGTTTCCAGTCGCAAAAACCTTTGACAGTAAAAGCCACATCAGATGAAGACGTATTTACTTTAAAGTGTCTACAGGGGAAACAAAAGGCTGCGTCTGCTTTTAACGAATCTTCAAGCCGGTCTGTTGTTGTACCATGCAGCGGCAAAAGTGCACTTCTTTCCTGAAAACAATCTCCCTGATAACGATCCAGTTTCACCTCGTTGGGTTTATTAACCCCAAGATCATCTGGGGCTGTTGGTCTTTGAGCGGTTGCTTTTCAGCCAATTTCTGATGTCCATTTTGTAATTCAAACAGAAATGGGAGTCTACAGAATGCACAATAAACAAACAAATCCAGAAGGCGGCAGAGTGTGACGCTGTGATTGGTCTAAATGTGGACAAATCACAACAGACACATGAATTTATTTGACATAGCCTGCGATTTTTTGTTTTAGTTACTATCTGACATCGTATACATCGTAGCATAAAAGTTCACAGTTTATTTATAATTAAAAAAAAAAAAACATAAAAAAAAAAAAAATGTTATAAATAATAAAAAACGTGTTTATTGGGGGAGGGCAGGAATGTCAAATGGGAGGGCCTGGTCCTCCCTGGCCCTCCCACGGCGCCGGGCATGATCGTGCAACCCCTCCTTTTTCTTCCACACCCCCTTAAACTCCTACTTTTTGGTGAAATGTACACTTATCTGCTCCCTGCTGTCTTTAAAAATGGAGAACAACCATTCAGGGGGTGTTTGCGACATGGGAAAGAAGAATTGTACAACAGGATTTAAAGGGTTACACAAGAATAAGCACAAAGCAATGATTCATCATCGTGTTGCTACATTGTAGAGGTTAACATATCAAAGTATATGCATGTACAAGTTTGATGCCCTTTTTTATTCCCACAAAGAGCATTGATGTGTGTGGCAGAGGCACTGAATGGTAGCATATATTTATTTTTGTAATACTTTATGCATGGTTGGTTCAGGGTTTTTACCCTTTTGATTATAGTTTCTGTGGTTGATTGTCCTTGTCTTTAAAAGTGATACATTTGAAGTGTATAAATATGATTGGAAATAAATGATCTCATATCTCAAATGTAAATGTTTCATACAGACTGAGCAGCAAAATTCAGCTGTGCTGTCTGTGGAAGAAAAAAAAAAGCTAAAAACACTGAAAAGTTTGATTTAAGTACACGTGCCTCTGAGGCATTTAAGAAAGCAGGTGCCACTCACATCACCCATGCTAATGTTAAGAAATGAATAAGCAGATGTATCATCAATGGGAATTTGCACAACCAAAATAAAATGTTATATTAATAAATGACATCATCACTTTTATAAATAATAATACAAAACTTGCATCTGTCTTGAAATATATGTTAGCTATATTAGCTTAAATCAAGCATACTAAAGACTTATGAATACTTAAGGAACAATCCAAATCCTACATAGCAGATTACATTTCTGCCATGTTTATTCAGGTGTAAATGTATATTTGTATACTAAAGGACCACAAGAGGGCAGTGTTGTGTTGCCACAATCTTTTGTTCCCAGGCCCTTTCATTGCTATTCCACACCCTTCCGGAGATGCCCCCTCTCTTCTAGACACTGGTGATGATGATGCTGAAGATCTGGATTTGATGAGGAGATCGGATGAAGAGGAGGTGTGATGAGGTCTTTGGATTAGCTCTCCTGGCACTGGATGTGGTGAAAGGAGGTGGATGGGGAGGAGGTGGTCGGCATCATGAACACCTGAAATCACAGCTGACTGCAGGAGAGAGGAGAACCATTTTAAAGTTTGGCTGCAGCACGGTGATTGGCTGCTGAGATTGAGGTGAATGTAGGTTAGCAGGAAGCCTGTGATGAGCTGATTAAGCAGCTGTGGAATGAATGTATACCAGTCTTCCTGAAAGAACTTGCGCTGAGCTTCATTTGTCAACAAGGTTAAACGGTTTACTTTGAAAAACAACATAGCTGCAATGTATCCCTATTGTTCTTAACTTCGGGGTTTATTAATAAGGAAGTAAGTATGGACAAAGCTCAAGTTTGTCTAATCTGTTCTTTACCAAAGAAATACTAGATAGTTCCACATGGTTGATTCTGAGGAGGAAACATCTCTCTTAGAGGTATGCAAACTATGAGAAGGCTAAGGTAACAAATAAACATAGCAATTGCTTTAGGATTATAAAGGTTGGTAGGAGGGGTTTTCATGTGGGAGATTGACGTGAGGTAAGATTACATGTCAGATGTATTCAGAAACAACAGCAACAACCTCATCAAACAGGACATTTTGTTTATTTTGATTGGTTCCCAGGGCTGAATACAATGAAAGAAAGGTGATATCTTGAATTGAACTATCCTATTTACTAAATTACTTTAATTAGCCTCATACAATATGAAGGTGACTTTCACTCACACCCTTATGATTTCCTCGCTTGTGCGTCCTCCCTATGCAATTACCTTTTTCTGTTTGCCTTATCCCCCCCAATCTGTTTCCTTCTGTTATGGGATCTTTATCTCCCCCCCTCTCTACTTGCAACATTGTTTCAATTGTTTAGGGTGTGTTGTTTCTTCCTGCTATCTCAGAAAACCTCTGCAAATACAGCCACATGAGAGCATTTTCTGCCAGACATGAATGCAGAATGCATCAAGCACAGTCTTAAAACTTGATACAATGATATTTTAAATAATTGTGGTTACAAATTTGGGAAAGGCCCATTTCTGTTTCAACACGACAATCCCCCAATGGACATAGTCAGGTCCATAAAGAACGTTTTTTTTAGATTATTGTTGTGGTAGAAAACCAGCTTGCTCAGAATTCTTGAATGAAAAGGAGAGAGAAAGTGACATGGACAAACACTTACTGATAAAGTTGAAGGACTGAGACAGACAGTTACCCAGTGAGGGTGGATTGTTTCCTTCAGAAAATATGCTGCAAGGCTGAAAGCAGAGATCCAGATTTACTTGTCTAACTGGAAAGGCCGGAGGGGGTGTGGGCTGCCTCTGAGAGTGTGACAGGTGTGGTGAGAGAGGGACAAAAAACAGATACAGCCGCACACACGGCTGTAAGAGACGGAGAGGAAATAATACTGGAATATAAAACTCTACAGGTGGAGATAAAGCATCCAGTGCTGACTGTGAGTATAAGCTTCATTACATGTTACTATAGTTTCATTCAAAAACTATTAAGAGTGACGTGTGTAAAAATGGGTGTGTGTGAGAGGGAAAGAATGAGGTTGCAAATAGTCATAATTAAACAGGAATCTTACTTCCTAGGCACAAATAGTTTTTTAATGTCTGGATTGTTTTTGCATTGTCAGGGACTGAGGCAAACCATTTTGTACATCCACTGGAAATAAGAGGACATACGACACAGAGAGAGGAAGAAGGATGGCCGAGTCCCCGAAGATTGAACTCTTCGTTAAGGTAAGACCTACTTGTGATGTGTTGTGATTAAAAACAATCCTGATTAAACACAACAGATATGGACACAATTGTGTAAATGCCCTACCTATGTATGTACTACATATTAGTTGACAACAAACATCTAGTAAGCCTTCAGTTTCTTTTAGAAATGATATGGCCATGCCATTGTTTCCCTTTTCTATATTTCATCTCACACTGTTCCTTTGGTAGCCTTACATCTCAAATAAGATGAAATAAAAGATTATAAAAAGACAATTTCCAGATATCAAAGTGCCTGCTTCAGTATTATTTAGTCAGTCTATTACTTAATTTGTGTTGTTTTTGTATTGGCTCATAATGTATGGGACTTTCCAACTTGTTCATTCTATATGAACGTTGCAATGCATTGAATGGCAAATGATGTACAGTTGAAATGATACTGTTCCACTCT